CAGATTTCGGAGGCGATCGTGATTGATCCGGCAGTGGTGGCATAAAAATTTGATTATCGAAATTATTAAATTTTCGAATTTATGTATTGAAACATTGTTAACGTGTTTTTCGTTTCCGCTATTCCAAAATATGATATTTAGATTTTGAACAATTATCCAATGTATTTTAATTTCCGACGTAGTCTCCAATTGCAAATGTGATTTTAAAATTTGGTCATTTCCGCAAAATTGATTGACAAAATTAGGGTAAAAGATGATGACGTAGCAATCCGGGTTAACAGAACTCGGGGCGCTACACTATGCATCCGAGCCCGACACTCGAGAGGGTTCTCTCAGCTATGGCCTTGATGCACAGTGGCTTGTGATAACCCCAAACCTGAACTCGACCTTGCTTCTCCTCAATTAGCCCAATTATGTGGGCCACTAAGGTCGTGGTCGAGGTCGGTGTCCGATCATCCACTGATGGTGTGAAACCCGAACCCGACCTCATCACTTTGCTTACTAGGCTCCTCAGCCCAATATATGAGGTCGGGTCAAGTCAGGTCAGGCAAGTTCATTGACCTCGTGGTCCCTACCTCACGTGCTTCCCTCCAACCACACGTGACCATAGAATACTAGTTCAACTTAACCATTAAACCCCCAACTTACCATAAAATTAACCTTATCTCAAAATAATACGATCTTAGCACAATACAAACATCTCCCATAAAGAAATTTTAGTCCATCTAGGACTCAACCACCAGCCTCTTTAAATATGTATCTCATCCTAGTTGTTCAGGTACGTTTTTTCATAAGCATTCAACACAAGTTTCTTTTGAGCATTTGTCTGATTTAAATATCGGAGGGGCGACGAGGACACACCTCGACGCCTTGGTTTCAGGTATTGAAGATCGGATCACTCGGAGCTCTCCACGTCGGGTCGAGTTTTCCCAAGTACGAATTTTGATAGCATCAACTCTAAAATAGGCTTAGATTAGAAATCTTCGTTTCTCACATAGCCTCGTCAAGTATATGATTTATTTATCAAATTCTAACTAGATAAAAGTCTAATGTTGGAAAATATTTATAAAAAATTGATTTTTTTTAATCAATTTTTGACCAAATATTTGGATGGATCCCACTACTCCAATTTGATGAGAAATTGGTCGAACATATATTAAACTGTTTTTCGAACGGCCGCTTCGGAATAGGTTTCGACTTCCAAATATACCAAACTCGTCTACTTACGAGTAAAATATGTTCGACCAATTTCTCATGAAATTCGAGTAGCGGGATCCATCCAAATATTTGATGAGAAATTGACCAAATATTTGACCAAATCATGAATTTGATGAGAAATTGGAACAACATATATTAAACTGTTGGATGGATCCATCCAAAAAAATTGAATCATGATTCATGAATTCATGATTCGAGTAGCAGGATCCATCCAAAAATTCATGATTCAAAAATTCATTATTTTTAAGGTTAAAAATTCATGATTCAAAAATCATGAATTTTTGAATTTAAAACGAAAATTCAATATATTAAATGTTGTTCGAGCGGCCGCTTCGCACTTAGAGAGCTGCAAAGTCGCTACTCTCGACGCTTTAGCAACAAGCTGGCAGATAGAAAGCGACCAGTGAACTTGTGCAACTTTTCGAGAACGAGATAAATTTTGGGTTGTATCTTTTCGTGTGCAACTCCTCAACCTCTATAAATTGGACCCCTTTGTGATGATTTCATTCATTCCAATTCAATGCAATCATAGCATATCATATGACATCATATTCTTGCCAAAAAAAAAAAACCTTGTTATCATACAAAAAGGAGTACAAAACTCCATTCGGGTCGTCATTTCTTGTGATTTGAAGTGCTACCATCACAAGAAGTTGATCGTTGTATATTGGGAGACAATTGCCAGTCCTTGGGAGACAATTGCCAGTCCATCATCGACACCTGTACAGGGCAAATTCATATTAAGAACAAAAAATTCAACTCTTAGCTCGATCTTCTTGCATTCCATTCTTTAAATTGTGTTTGTTCAAGGTTTTATCCATTTTTTTGGGGTTCAATCTTTATTTCAACTATGGGTAAGGTCGGTAAGGTTTGCGGTAAGAGTATATTTTATTTATTACAATAAAGAAATCACTTTATCACTTTAATATTATCAACATTTAGTTCCTAAAACTTGAACCTTGTGATTGAAATAAACTACTAAGCGCCTTAAAAATCAAGTCTCGATTACAAATCTCAAAAACTACGACAATCACATTTTAATTCATTTTTCTCTCTTCTTTTATCAATCGCACATTTTTTCAATAAAATAATATTACACATAAATTCAAAAATTCTCCTTTCTTTTAACCACACATTCTTCAAAAAATACTATTTCAAAATAATTTTTTTCCAAATAATGGAGCTCAAACAATGGCAAATACTTTTCCCAAAATTATGTAGAGACAAATCTAGGTTAAAATTTCTTTATCTTCCAGAAATGTAGCACTATTTCATTAGTGCTTCTTTCAGAAAACCTTTTCTCCAACTTTTAAATTTCAAATCCTTCATCCCTTGAGTGACACTCTTTTCATCGATCTTTAGCCATCTTAATATTTTAATGGATCTCGTCGACAGTCTAAAGACTAAACTATCTTTACTGAACTATTTCTTTTCCAAGTAGTTGTCATTAACTCATTTCATCTCAGTGAACCAGTGGTACGCACTTTCTACCATACAAAGCTTCCGCTGCATCCCTCCGACCTTTATCTGATCCCATAAAACTGGAATTCCATATCTTCTAACATCTTTTTAATATCTTAAACAACTCATTGAAAGAGATATTCTCACCAAGGTGGTGCTGTCCTATGGAACATATTATATATTTGCATCATATCCCACTACTACCAGAACACATTATACTTACCATAAAAATCTCAAGTGAAATAAACATCTAACTCTTATTTCGAAGCACAATTATATGTTTTGTTTTAAAAAGCAAACGAAAATTAGTTGACAGAATAATTCTTCGGTGATTAGTTTTTCCTTTTTCCAATACGAACAGATCACCACATTTTTAACCGACGAATTTTTGCAATATATTATATAAACTTCAGGATAGTTGATGAATTTGTAGAGCAATGGCTGTAACATCCTCTGAAGATAAGGAAAAGCAAACGTTTGTAGTCTCGTCTCATTCTCTTAAAATAAATGCTTCATCAGCTGAAGACTTCTGCTCAAATAACCTCTCCCTTGCCTTAGTTGCCTGCAGAAGGGAAACAGAACAAGATTTTCGTTCACGAAAAGAAGAAAAATCGAAATTTTGGAATTGACGTTTCAAACAAAGTACTAATTTCGCTTAAGGGTAAAAAGAAAATGAATGTACAACCTGTTTTTCCCAGTTTGTACAACTTGTTATTGTGGCAAGCATAATAGTCTGTAAAGTAGCGCCAGAGAGTACTCCAATCCAGAGACCTTTCCCTCTAAAATTTAACCAGAAACCCAATGCTGCAGCAATTGGAATTCCGAAAAGGTAAAACGCAGCAAGATTTATATACGCTCCAATATGCTGCCAGCCGCAACCTCTTGCAACACCTGAAAAGGAAAGAAAACAAACTATGCAAGTTAGAAGACTACAATCTTATCCTTTTTTATGCGACAGACATGACTGGATGAAATAAATAACCTGAAAGGGCTCCTTGAATGCAGTCCATTATAACAGATAAACAAACAAGAGGAGCCATATTTGTGACATAGTCCACAACTTCCTTCTCATTGCTGAAAATGTAGCCAAAAACGTGCCGGCTAATAAAGAGGATTGCGCTCACTGTTAATCCTTCTACGGCCGCAATAAGCATTAGAGAAATAACGGATACACGAGCTCCTCGTGGATTTCCAGCCCCTAACTCATTCGATATTCTTGTGCTGAATATTAAAATCGTTTAAATTTACAATTAGTTACAAGGACTGTCTATGAGCACGTTAGTAAGCATTCAAAACGAATATCAAAATGCAGAACGGCACCTTGCAGCAGCAGATAATCCATACGGTATTGCATATAGTGTAAAAATGGTGTTTAGGCTGTTCAAAACAAGGCATAGGGGATCAGAGCTATTAACTTAATGTTGGAATTGCTACACCTATATTATCATCCATGAGGCTTGTCAAGAACCTACCACACGGAGAGCACCGAGGTTTCAAGCTGCGGATTAGGTAAAAGCCCTGATAGCAAGATAAGTAGCTCAAATGACCACCATTCAAGACTAGAATCATCAAATATAAATGCATTAAAATGTTAAGATACAGAATGATAGTAATAGTACAAATATTGAGAAACTAGGTGCCTGCTTGTGCGTAGCAAGAACGAGTGAAGAGACAGAGAGAGGAAGTTGGTGTTACCAAATCATTACAGCAGAAGGAACGGCAAAGCGGAAAAATTCTTTCATTCCTTTGAATATATCCATTGAAAGGGGGGCACGGGTTTTCTCACAGGTGGAAGAGAACTTCATGTACAAACCGAGAATGGTAACATTTAACCACATCGAAAGGTCCATGGCTACAGCAGCTCCAATATTCTTTAATCCCGACTTAAATACTAGCACCCAACAGACAGCTATGTGGAAACAGATAGTGATGCATGAGCTTATGAGCATGGGAAGGATCATACTTTGCATTTGAAAATACCGAATGAGTGGTTGAAGCGTTGCATAGCCAAAAAGTGCCGGAACAAGCCACATTGTAAATTTTCCAGCTTCGTGCGAAATCTGAGGATCTTGGCCTACAAAAACGAGTACCTTTCCCAAGAATATCCACAGGACAGAGAGAGGAATGCAAACAATAATCAGGGAAAAAATGGCCGTGTAAGTTTGAGTTCCAATTCTTTTATATTGTTGAGCACCATATGCTTGTCCACTTAGAGTTTCCAGAGCACTTGCCATACCTAACTGTTTCACAGGCAGAGAGATCATCAGTCTACATAAAGAAAAGTAAAATAAATTTTTCAATAATGCAACTGTTAACATTGCCAGTTAAAATTTATTGATGCATTTCAATAAGCTAGCTTTAATCTTCAAATAATACTGAAATTACACGACATATTTGTGTTAAGAATAGTGTGTGCCAGAAAAAGATAGGATGTTTTCATCCTTAGGTAGCATATGGTGCACTGTATTAGACTATAAAGAATTTAATATAAAATTAGAATGGATGATAATATGTGAAGGATATTAAGGTGGATAATATGGTTTAATGTTTTAGAAAAGATATATCATGTGCACTGTTAATCGTATAACATAATACTCAGGAATCAGGATGGAGATGGTTTGGAGCAAATAAGATAGACATTTTCTTTTACTAAAAGAGCAAAAAGTATTCCATTTTAATCCGCCATAATACTATTCATTTACTGCTATTTATTCTAATTTTATACTAAATTTTTTATATGATCTTAAGCAGTGCACCAAACGCAATCTTAAAGTTCATAGATATTTAAAAGAATCAAAGAATTTTAGAGACAGTGATGCATCATCTGAGAGTGGACAGTTTGGAGTGCAAAATCAGATAACCTTCAAGGTTACAGTGACCACGGTTTTTTATAAGCATAATGTATTTTTTGCATAATTATACTTAAGATTCTACAAGTTTTTTCAACTGACAAATAAAATATCTATCATTACTAGATTTGGTAGTACTAGATGTAAATGCAACAGTGCTGGTGGTAGATAAATATTCATTTCAAGGTTCATTAACGTCACCGCCACAAATGAATAGTCAGTGTCACCATCAATTGAATAAAAACTGTAATATACCCCTTCTTTGTCATAATTTATTACACAATAAACCCGTGTTAAATAATGGGATAAACGTCGTTCCTATTACGCGTATGTACATAGTCACAACAGTCTGTGATTTATCGATATAACGAAGTCCTACAACAATATTAAAACCAGAAGAAATTAGTTCTTGAACCGACAATCAGGGCTAAAATGCATTCTTACGAGGTATGAGATGACATTACAGTATCTCAGTAACATAAACCTATGTCTCACACAAAAGAATCCAGTTTGGAGTTGCATCAGACAGTTTTCTTGTCACACACATTTATAGTTCACTTTTTTTATTAGGCAGCATCCCAAGAAAATCATTGAATTAGCAGTTGAGATTGGCAGACCCAGGCAGCACCACTGGTGCATTTTTAAGAGCATGTTTGGTAAGCTTGCAAAAGAAGTAAGAGAACTTAAAAGTAACTTATGTTGAAGCTTAATAGTTACTTTCATGATCTGAGTCTAGAATTCCAATTACTTCCCTCGGTATAAGAGGAATAATAAGGCATTCTTTAATAAGGTCGACTAAGCACGACAACTGACAAATTTTATGACATATACGTCTCCCATCACTAATCCTATCCAATCCAATATCCCAAACTTCTCCTTTGAACTGAGCCACCGATACATGATTAACACAGGCAAATATAAACAAGAAATCACAGTATTCACCATTAAAAAAGCAAAGAAAAAGAAAACATGGTTATGCGTACAACTTACTAGAAAGCTGAAACCAGTGACACTACAGAGAGAAATGGCTATGGCGGTGCTGGAGAGAGAGAGTTCACCCAAATGGCCCACCATCATTACTGATATTACTTGAAGCAGATACTGTGATAGAGTCACTGCTACCATAGGTCCAGCTAAGTATCCCAGTCTCTTCATCTCCTCCCATATCAATGCACCCCATCTCACTCTCCCTCTCTTCTCTTCTCTCTCTTCTTTCAACAACAAAACCTCCTCCATTTTTCTCTATAGAGATCGGAGATTTTCTTTTCTTTCTTTCTCAGCGGCCCAACTTTCAAGAATTTGGAGTTCCTGATGGACTGACTCTCTGACTAAGAAAATGATACACGGGTTGTTTGAGAGAGAGTTTTTCGTAAAAATGGTAGAAGTTGATTAATAGTAAAAGGGCCTTGCTACTTGTACATTATGGATGCCATAAAGGCATCCCTGATGCACAAGTGGAGGCCTCTCCTTGGAGCCTCGGCTGACGCAAAGCACCTCTCATAATGCACAAGTAGGCATCCATAATGCACAAGTAGCAAGGCCCACTATGGATTTAGCCTCTTGTCCATTATGGATGCCTTTAAGGCATCCATAATGGACAAGAGGCTAAATCCATAGTAAAATTCCTACAGTTGGATTTTCCCGCAGTTGGCCACCATTTCCAATTTCCAGCCACTTTTCTGGACCAAATATCTCATTGTGGGCCCCAATGGACCAAAAAGGGTCAAAACTAAATTTACTTGGAGCTTGTTTGATTCTCATTTTTGTCAAAATAAAATACATTTTAGAATAATGTATTGATGGGAACATGTGGTTAAAAATTAAGAGCATCTTAGGCAGTCATTATTATCAAATTTTAACTCAAAAAGTTACCATTGCAGTCAATTGGTGGGTCCCCCCTCTCTCCCAAGCAGTCAAAAATGGTTGCTCAACTGGTACATAATGGCTGAAATTTTGATTTTAAGTTGATGAATAATGGCTGTCAGACATGCTTTAAGAAAAAATTTTGAGTTTGCGTATAATATTATTTTATTGAAGAACGTGTGGTTGAAATATGGTCAAAAGACTCGAAACACTATTCAAGAATACATTTTTTTCAAAAAAAAAAAAAATTGGGACTTAAACAAGGGCTTAATTGTGTCAAACTTTTTTTTTCATATTTTAACAAAAATAAAATTAAAATACTTTTTTTTTTTTTTTGATATGGATAAAATCAAATCAACAGGTCCAACCTCGTCAATGGAGAGATGAGCTATCTCAAAAATTTACTATTACATGACATGCTACCGGCACCAATTGAATATAGATTTATTAAGCCATGTTTGATAGTCATTATTTCTAAAGAACCACGTTTTGAATAGTGATTTTTTTAAAAAAAAAATGTATGGTTAAAATGTAGAAAAAAATTTGAATTTATGAAAAGACTATTTTATTGTATGATTATGCGGTTGAAAATAAACATATAGGAAAAATAATTTTAAATAATAATTATCAAACGGTGGCTAACTTCCTCTTTGAAACATTAGTCAACTCTTGAAGGCATATTCCTCCATCTCTTTGTATTGTAGTCCTTACAAACTCAAATAAAGTTAGTGTTATAACATGTTAATGATTATGTAACCCACCGTATCTCGTGACTTAAAAATAGAACAAGTTAATTAAATTAAATTTTTATATTTTATAAGACACAATTTTATCAACTTTTCAATCAACATTTCATCAACTTCGATTAAAATCTGTTATCAAAAACTTTGTTAAACGACCCATTTTTGTCTTATAATAAATTAAAATAAGAGTTCAAAAACATTTCATTTGGAAAGTCGGATCAAAGGTGTTATATAAAGTCATATGTAAATATTTACAGTTCGAAGATAAAACCTAAAAGCTCACGATGATATCTTCTACCATGAAATAGTCGAACTTGCCTTCTTTGTAATTACCCAACATCAAATAATATACGGAGCTAGATATAAGAATGTATAAACCAGTGTATTTCTCAAGTTTTGTCTCCGACTTCATATAGCACACTTTTTAATATGATACAATATCAAACATATACTTGATACCATATTACATATATTATTTATACGACACTTTCAGATACTGGTAGATAAAAATTCTTTAAAATTAATTTTTTTTTCAAATTCATTTCAACAACACGGTTTTTTAATAAAATTATTTTGCACGTGAATTCATAATTTTTTCATATTTTTTAACAATACTGATAA